TAATATCAAAATTTCATAGATCCTAAGGTTTGTGTCCATGGGGAGACGCTTATGTGCTCCCAGCGTGATGAGCTAGGCCCTCCGCGACAGAGAGATGGATTGGGCCGACCCCGTGTGATGAGCGGGACAGAGCAATATATATATATATATATATATATATATATATATATATATATATATATATATATATATATATATATATATATATATATATATATATATATATATATATATATATATATATATATATATATATATATATATATATATATATATAAGAATCTTAATTGGTTGAGTAAGTAAATAAAATAATTAATTATATTTAATAATTAATTATTTAATTGTATATGTGCTTAAATATAAGTGGATGTTAAGATAATCCATTTCGAAATAATGAGAATTCTAAATGATTATCATTCTATATATAGGCTATGATCTCAAATATATCATGCTATAAGAAATTTATCTCTTTTTTTCCCCATTCGAAGAGTTATCAAGACATTACGAGTACCAGTTGAGAAAAATCCACAAGTCAACCAGTGTCAAACACTTGTCTCTACACTTTTATATTTTAGAATTATCGTTGTCATTGTCTAAAAATCTTTCTCATTATATTCGTCAAGGTATTCCTATACTAATTAATATCAAAATGTCATAAATCCTAAGGTTTGTGTCCAGGGGGAGACGCTTAAGCGCTCCCAGCGTGATGAGCTAGGCCCTCCACGACAGAGAGATGGATTGGGCCGACCCCGTGTGATGAGCGGGACAGAGCAATATATATATATATATATATATATATATATATATATATATATATATATATATATATATATATATATATATATATATATATATATATATATATATATATATATATATATATATATATATATATATATATATATATATATATATATATATATATATATATATATATATATATATATATATATATATATATAAGAGTCATAATCGGTTGAGTAAGTAAATAAAATAATTAATAATATTTAATAATTAATTATTTAATTGAATATGTGTTTAAATATAAGTGGATGTCAAGATAATCCATTTCGAAATAATGAGAATTCTAAATGATTATCATTCTATATATAGGCTATGATATCAAATATGTCATGCTTTAAGAAGATTATCTCTTTTTATCCCCATTCGAAGAGTTTTCAAGATATTACGAGTACCGGTTGAGAAAAATCCACAAGCCAACCAGTGTCAAACAATTGTCTCTACACTTTTATAATTTAGAATTTTCGTTGTCATTGTCTAAAAATCTTTTTCATTATATTCGTCAAGGTATTCCTATACTCATTAATATCAAAATGTCATAGATCCTAAGGTTTGTGTCCATGGGGAGACACTTAAGCGCTCCCAGCGTGATGAGCTAGGCCCTCCACGACAGAGAGATGGATTGGGCCGACCCCGTGT